GGTTCAGTCTTCCTTTCGGTTTCCCGTTATTGGGGGGGGGGGGGGGGGGGGGGGGGGGGGGGGGGGGGGGGGGGGGGGGGGGGGGGGGGGGGGGGGGGGGGGGGGGCAAAATACATAAAACGGCAATTCTAACCTGAAAATTATTTTGAACAAGTATAGACACATTATAATAAATTACCTTATTCATTTACAATAAAACCCCTCAATATTACATAAGGTTAATACATCATTATCATCTATTAACCTTATCTAATTTACCAATCATTGTTCCTCAGCTTGTATCTTTCCTAAATTATGTTGATGCTTTGTTGTTTTAAGATGTCTTCCAAAATGCCCTTGACTTATTGAACAATTGCAAACATCACAACTAACAATATATTTATTTCTCCTATAAGTCCTTTCCAGTTTCTTTTTTCTATACTCCTCATCGTTTTCATATCTAATTCTTTGTTCCTCGTTCATTCTCTCCCTATGTCTATTTTGATAGTCTCTTTGAGCTTTTAAACACTTATCACATCGCATATTATCACCACTGAAACTTTCCTTAGACTTATCATTTTTACACTTTGAACACTTTTTCACTGCTTCCATCCTTATCATAGAACTACCGTATTTCTTTAAAGGCGTTTCCACGACTAAGAAAGAGTCAAGCAAATCAAGAAAAAATAAAATATTTCAATCTTTACAAACTATAAGTACAGTATAATTATAACATATAAGATTTTACATGTTATAATTATATTACAATGAAAGCACACATACCCTATGCGAGTTTCCACACATACCCTGTGTGAGTTTCCACACATACCCTGTGTGAGTTTCCACACATACTCTGTGTTAGTTTCCACACATACTCTATGTGAGTTTCCAGACTTGTCCATTGCTGGTTTTGGATGTCAAACAATACTGCTATTCAAACCGAATGTGGAACAAATCAAGAAATTGTTTTTCATATTATTTAGTCATAATATGATTAAACATTGTTAAATTTTATAACCCTCATGGGCTATGTGTAGAAACCTACATGGGCTATGTGTAGAAACCTACATAGGCTAAGTGTAGAAACCTACATGGGCTATGTGTAGAAACCTACATAGGCTAAGTGTAGAAACCTACATGGGCTATGTGTAGAAACCTACATGGGCTATGTGTAGAAACCTACATGGGCTATGTGTAGAAACCTACATGGGCTATGTGTAGAAACCTACATGGGCTATGTGTAGAAACCTACATAGGCTATGTGTAGAAACCTACATGGGCTATGTGTAGAAACCTACATGGGCTATGTGTAGAAACCTACATGGGCTACGTGTAGAAACCTACATGGGCTATGTGTAGAAACCTACATGGGCTATGCGTAGAAACCTACATGGGGTATGTGTGGTGGGGATATATCTATAAGAATTTCAAGTTTCAATCCCAGCCCCAAACTCAAAATCCTTAATCCGTCAAACTCGCCAAGATTTCACAAATTAAACTACTAGGTATTTTATATAGGTCTTCCTGTTTATGTATTATTGGATTGTCTCCCCATTTTTCCTTAGTGCCCGATGGTAGCCGTTGTGCTGTTTCAATATGTTTATTATTCCTGATGTTGCCACAATCCTTTTTACATAAATCTCTAGGTTTCCAAGTTGTAATGTTATTCCAAAGCCTAGTTCTCTTTCTGTAAGGCATTCCATATTTACAATAATCAACATCTTTAAAATCAAACTCATCCATAAACTCCTGATGTCTTAATAATCCAGTTTGTGGATTTTCGATTACAAAATACTTAGGATTGAAATATTTGATAATCTCAATAGTTTTTAAGACAATACTATTTGCATATTCGATATTCCTAATGCCCCTAGTTTTTGCTACACTATATTCAGTGCATGGAGGACTTGCCCAGATAAAATCAAAATGGTTCCTATCAAATTGTTTATAATCCCATTTCAAAATATCAGTATTTATATCAGCATTTTTCAAATCCAATGAAATAACAATGAAACCGAGCGACTTTGCAACAAGTCCAACACTGCCTGTTCCGCTAAACATCTCTAATAAGTTCATTATTAAAGATATTTAGATAATATTATCTATGAGTAAATACAACTTTATGAATAAAGTTGCGTTTCCTCGTCATAGTCAATTTGATAAAATGTCATAGTTGAAGCCTTCGGTTCTTTAATTTCTTTGTTATTAAGTTTGTTTAAATAAATATTTCTTTTATTTTTATATTCACCATTGGTTCTATCTACTTCTTTACTTTGATAACTGTTTGTTAAAGGTTTCTTTTTTTCCATTTCTTGCAAGATTTCTAAAATATTCTTATTCTGTTCTAAAACCTTGTTCAGTTTTTTTAACAATCTTTTCTAATCCTTCATCCATGTAAATATATATATATTATATTATAAAATAAAACTTTTAAAACTAAACTTTTATTTTACAAAATCATATATCATTATAAGTCAATTCAAAATTAGTTATTGTGTAACTCGTTAAATTATTATTCAATTTACCAATTAAATTACAAATAATAGTTTTTCTAAACTTTGAATATTTATGAAACTTTTCAATATTATCTGTAATATAAATTATTAAACATTTAATACATTCAAACACATTAACAACATTAATGTTACTATTTTTGTAAATATTATTCATTTTTCTCAATGTAATTTCATAAAACTGAATAGCATTTTTATTATCATAATTAGCAATAAATCTTAAAGTATATGAATATATTCTTTTACAATAAAATTTTAAATCTGATTGTTCAAATAAATCAGCATAATTAATAGAATTATAAAACATGTTAAAATCAATTTTGCTATTTCTAAAGTCATTAACAAAATTAATTAATATATCATTTTCGTTATGTTCTTCAATAAAATTATTCAATTTCAATTCTTTTACATCAATGAATTTAAGAATATTATTTATACCATCTTGCATTATAAATAATAATAGAAATAATTTTAACTATTGTTTTTTCATCATTTCGCGTATAGTTTCCTGAGTTTCCTTATCACCATTATCGGATGGCGATGCATGCCTTCCCCATTTGATAGCAATATTATGAACATCTGTTTCTAAGTTTATACTGTCTTTAGTTTTATCAATATTCATTTTCTTATCATTCTTACTTATTTTGAAACTTGTCGGAATACACGAACATTTACAGTTTCCTTTCTTTTGTATTTCTAATTCATTTTTCATTTCTAAGATTTTTTTACACATTGGACAAGCAAACTCAATAACTGATGTTTCTTTAACAATTTCTTCTTTTTCTTCATCGGTTGAAGAAACAACTGATTCAGTCTTATTCTTTTTCTTTCTCCCCATCTATATTAATATTTATATTTTTAATATATTGTATCACAAACTTAATTAATTCTAAAACAAAATAGCATACTTTCTTAAATCTATTATTAGTTATAACAACTTGTTCTATATTTTCTACTTCGTTTATTATATTGATATAATCTGAATAACTTCTATTCATATAAAATAATAAATATTAAATTATTTTCTAAATGTCTTTAATATTATTTTTATTATGCCTGATGTAAAACCAATTGATGAAATCAAATATGACTTTAAGCAAAGTAAGCACGAGGTCGTCCCTAAATTGCCATTCAGAAGTATCATAACTGGACCGTCAGGAAGCGGTAAAACAGTTTTATTGATTAATATGATACTTGATATATACAAAAACTGTTTTGAAAGAATATATATTTGGTCTCCTTCAATCAATGTTGATAGTGTGTGGTTGCCCGTTAAAAAATATATAAAAGAAGAAATGAAGGTGGATAATGAAAAAGAACCTTACTTATTTGAAGAGTTTAAGGCAGAAGATTTAGAACAAGTGATAGAGACACAACACAAAATAACAGAATATAGTAAAAGAAACAAATTAAGAAAATTGTTTTCCATATTGGTTATTTTGGATGATATAAGTGATGACCCTAAGGTGGCGAGACATAACAAACTGTTAAACTCATTGTATGTAAGAGGACGCCATAACGGTATATCAGTAATAACAAGTATTCAGAAATTTAATACAATACCACCATTAATTAGAGTAAATGCTACACATTTGTTCTTTTATAAAGTGAGAAATTTTAAAGAAATTGAGTTGCTA